TCGTGAGAATTTTTTATTGTTTTATATATATTTTATTATTTTGTTGTTTCCCTTCAACGTGACTTTACCGAAAAACTAAGAATATGAATTACTGCAGTCACGAAAGCTTTAAATCAAAATTTGCTTCGTCTCTGTTCAGCTTCGCTATCGCTACGCTCTCTCCACTGCTGGCTGCTTCCCTTCTTCAGCTCCACTATCGCTACGCTCTCCCCAACTCTGTCTCCCCAACTCTGTCTCCCCAACTCTGCCTCCCCAACTCTGTCCCTCCACACTTCAATTCCCCGCTCCTGACTCCAAGCTCTCCAACTTCAACAACGTCCCTCCAATTGCCGACTCCCCACTTTATCCCCGCTCTCATTACTCCCCAATTAATTAGTCCGTGCGTCGTCCGCACCTGTTTCTCCCCCAGACCTTTAGGCGCCACTCTCGCTTTGGCAACAGCTCCAGCCAATCACAGCCGTCCACGGCTCTCCCACCTTAATTGCCCCAACATAACCTGCACTGTATTCGCCTTAGCTACAGGCTGACCCAACATAACCCGTACCGCATGTGTTATCATGTAATCACGCCGTTTGCACCACGCACCTTCCTACTACACATGTACAGAATTTGTAAGAAAATATTCATTACTGGTGTTTCACAGTTACATGCTGGAGTCAAATTATATATACAAATATATTAAACCCACCATTCTAACTCACCTTCGATTAGCACGGTTGGCTACGTACAGTGCGAACGTCAACATACGTACACAACACGTGATGGGTGGGTTTGTGCTCTTGCATCCCACTGACAGCGCAGACAATTTCACATCAACTTATAAACAGTAACAGTTGTAAATTAGTATCACGACCTGAAACATATTACGTGAGAACTGAAGCCCTGATTAACTTAGGTTGCATAAAAAAAGATGTTTCACAATTCTTGGACTGTCAGATTTGTTATGAATCTTTGTTTTCAGGGTCGATACTCGAGGCGCGTGGTTTGTGAGTGACAATGGTGGAGAAGATAACGAGCGGCTTGAATCTCATACTTTTGCTCTTCGCACGCAAACAGTGGAATGCATGACTCGTATATGTTCTACATAACAGGTCCCTGCAGGGTGGGCTGGTAGGACAAGTCTCTGCGCTGTCTATTGCTGATTTTACACCCAACAGCACGAGATTTCACTTCGTTAAAGTATTGAAAGGGGACGGACGGACGGACACATTAATCAATTGCAGGCTGGTACACTCAGTTTACAACTTCGTTCCTGCCAGTATTAGGATTTCACTGACATCGCCTTGTTTGTTAGAATAAAACATTCCGATGTGGCTGTCTGTCCCTCGTTGCTCCCTCCAGACAGCCATCCAGCAATACTTTTGTCGAATATAGTCCGATATGATAGCGTATCCCGCACTTTTGCCGATTTCTGAAGTCCATCGACAAAGCAGCATCTTGTCTTATCTAGATTTCAAGGCGCTTTACAGCACTTATACAATTGGACATACGGTGAGCTTGGCTTATTGAAAGTGGCGGTGTCGTTTTAGTGACAAACAGCAGGGAGTGTTGAGGAGGAGTTGGGATAGGCATCTTCGTAGCTGGGGTAGGCGACGGAAAGCTGGCGGGAGGGCGGAGAAGTTACGAGGCATTGAAGCACAGCCTGTGTGTGTGGGCCACTGCCTTTAGTACGGCCCCTGACAATACACAAATGTGAAAACACCCCATTATCCTGTCAAACCCGACGATTTAAAATGTGTTGCGGCCCTCACACTGATGATGTCTTATCGGTGAAAGTGCCCCCCCCCCCCCACTTCTGAACATGGGTGAAGGACACTGAACATGGGTGAAGGACACTGAACATGAGTGAAGGACACTGAACATGGGTGAAGGACACTGAAGGACACTGAACATGAGTGAAGGACACTGAACATGAGTGAAGGACACTGAACATGGGTGAAAGACACTGAACATGAGTGAAGGACACTGAACATGAGTGAAGGACACTGAACATGAGTGAAGGCCACTGAACATGGGTGAAAGACACTGAACATGAGTGAAGGACACTGCTTTTGGAGGACACTGAACATGGGTGAAAGACACTGAACATGGGTGAAAGACACTGAACATGAGTGAAGGACTCTGAACATGGGTGAAGGACACTGCTTTTGGAGGACAAAGGGGGTCGGCCAGGGGTAGGAGCCAGGTGGGGGAAGGAGGCCACTGCGATCTAAACTAAACTAAAATATATTTTTTTATTTTCCCGGGAAAGGCCCACTGAGCTATATAGCTCTTTTTCAGAAAGGACCTGGCCACAAATGATAGCCCAATGAAATTGCTTATGTAAAAATGTATCACAGCCAAATACTCTGAAAGCGAGTTTTTAAATAATTTGGAGAGAAAGCGATGAGGAGTCAGAAAAAATTCCACGTGACCACGGGAAGACAAAGAGACCGTAAACTCCAAATATACAACAGGCGTCAGGGTCTGGTTCGAACCCACGACCCCCTGTACACCGGGCGAGGTAGTTAACATCACGTAGCCACCGCGGTGCTGCGTGCATCAGCAGCGCAGCAGCACCAGCAGAGTCCCGACCGGGCTCGGGACGAGGGGGCCGCAGCGCCGAGCCGAACTCGAAGCTTCCCTCCGTATGTAGTCATCGTCTTCATCTTCGCCACCACCATTATTTCAGTGTTGTAAAATACTATTTGGTGATAGTTATTTTATGGCAGTGTTGCACAAACACAGATAACACGAAATAAAAGCATTTGTTAAAAGCACTTTCAGGTCTTAAAATGAGAAACCAAATATAACAGGCGACGTTTCGGGCAATGGCCCTTCTTCATAGCACATACAACAACAACAATAAACATAATCTGGAGAATTGGCCACGCTTTGAGAGCAGGGCGAGTGTGAAGTGGGGATGGGAGGGAAGGAATTGGTGGGCACGGTGGAGCGCGCTACGCTACGAACCCGGCCACCCGAGTTCGACAACACTTCCTGAACCGGCCCTGGGCCTCCCCCCTCGGTCGACTCAGCCTCAAACGAGTAAACTAAGTTGCCTCCGTTTCTCCAAACACGCAATAGAATGGTTCAAAAATTACCTCTCTTCTCGCACCCAAACTGTATTCATAGATGGTTGGAGGTCAAACAGTGTTAAGATAACAAAAGGGGTTCCACAGGGTTCCATCCTCGGCCCCCTCTTGTTCTCTCTATATGTCAATGACTTGGGCACTGACCTGGATCATTCCAGGGTAAATCTGTTTGCAGATGACACGATACTGATGACTGCTGGCCGCTCTCCGAATGATGTGATTGCTAAGCTCCAGGGTGATTTTGACAAACTACATCAGCTAAATTTTGTTTTAAAGCTTTCAAATTTCTTGTTGTGGTTTTCACACCTGATGATGATTGCTTGTGTTGCAGTCGAAACGTCGTAAAAAGTTTATTGTTTTATGTATGTTTTATTATATTATTGTTTCCCTTCTACGTGACTTTACCGAAAGTACCAAGAATATGCATCAGCTAGTTGCTCTTAAACTTGTCCTGAATACCTCCAAAACCAAGGTGCTATGCTTCTCACCAGGATTATAGCAGGAAGTTATTTTTTCCCCAATTACATTCCTTAAATAATTATCAAATAGAGCAAGTCAAGATCTATAAGTATCTTGGGGTCATTTTGTATTCAAAACTGAATTTTCAAGAACACATTGATTATATTGGTAAAAAGACAAAATTATAAATTGGTTTTCTGTATCGACACAAGCACTGCTTCCCCCCAATGTTCCGTTTGGAATTGATAAAAGCTACCATACTGCCTCTACTTAATTACTGTGACATCGTGTATAAATCAGCCCCAAGTACTGTACTGAAGAAGCTTGGCTAAATTTATCACTCGGCCTGAAGATCTGCATTGAACAGCCAATATAGGACCCACCACTGCGATCTCTACATTGGGTCAAACTTAACATCTCTTAATGTTCGATCTTATTTATTCACGATGTACTTACAAAAAAATCCACAGACTACCTGCTGGATCTCCTCTCTGTTTCAAAGAACAAATGTGACCTCAGGTCTTCGCTCATTTACCAACTTCACATTCCCTATTGCCGTACAAAAACTGGAGGAATGGCCTTTGCTATTGATGCCCCCAGAGTCTGGAATGCTATCGCCAATAAACGTCAACTTGGATCACAAAACTGCTCTTGAGGAGCTGTACACCCCTCGCTGCCACTGCTATTCAGTGGCCTGAAATCAAATGTATCGCTCCGGATGACCACTGCAAAGTATGATCTTGAGTTTTGATGATAGTGTGCTAATCTTTAAAGGTGCATTGACAATTTTTGATACTCCTGCTGATATGAAGTGACTCATGCTGCTAGCTATGGCTGCAAAGTTTGGTAGTACATGTGATGTATATCGTTTATTGTTAAATTTGAATCACAGTTCCTATGATCACTATTACATTGCTTTTATAGCTTTATTTTGGTGATTTTTAAAACGTTTTGGTTTAGCCATATTTGTTTGTTGTAGTACAGAGTTAGACTGATAACTTTAATCTAAATTGTCTTATGGTTATTGTTTGACTTGCATCCCACTGGGATTTTGCACACAGCGTTGATATACGGTGCTTTTTCTGGAAGACTTTGCTGTTTTTTCCTGAATGTTTCTGTTGCGCGTAGTCACTTTAAGATGTTTCTTGTTCATGTTTTTTGTTTGTTGCGGTTGCACCCGAGTCAAGAGCCGCGTGGCTCACAGGGCCATACCTAATAAATGAAACTGAAAAAAAACTGAAAACCTCGTGCGATGTGTAAAAAAATAATCGCCAGTCGGGAAACAAACGCCGGCGAGCGTGGTGCTGGCCACCAACCCAACTCATCTGCCGCTGTCGGCCTTAACCGCAGGTGCACCCAAGGTGCTCGCTAACAACAGCACTCGCCCCCCAGAAAGTCTGTCGAGGCCACACGGGGGATCTTTGTCTTTGCCCCCGCCCCCAGGCAGGGCAATTCGAAGCGGCTCTCTCCCCCACTCGCCGCCTCTCGGGCACGGCAAGGGGCTGCACGGTATATAAGCGGCGCTTCCTGCCGTCACGCGCGCATTGCAATTCAGCCGCCGCCGCCGCACGAGACGCTTTGTGCAGCAGCACCCCCACTCCACCGTGGCCTGCCCGCCTGTTCGTGTCACCTCTGTCGAAGGGGCCAGCAAAAAAGATGAGCGGTGAGTGTCCGCTGTGCGTGCTGCACTGCTGGTGCGTGCACGCCACACCAGTCGGTACAGTCGTAGTACGTGAGTGTACAATCGATGTCCTTGTTTGCCCTCGTTTACAAGTTGGGAGGCCCGTGTTAATCTTTAAAAATAGGCATGTTCAGCTACGTGTGTACAGTGCGGAGTGGCTCTGCGGTGTGTAGGCAGCAGCAGCAGCTAGAGAGAGTGAGGGCCGTGCAGAGAATGAACGCCGTCGTGTGGCAGCGAAACGTGTCGTGACCGCGACCCCCGCCTTCACCAAACCCGCATTGCGCCCGGCGTGCCCTGAGCCGCTCTCTCTGCCTCTCTGCCGTCTCTTCGTCTCCACTCGCCACTAAAGTCGAATGGCCCTCCCAGTGAGCGAGCGCATCTTTGGCGGCGCTCGCCTGCTCCAAAACTTTGCGCACAAAGCGGAGGCATTCCTCGAGCTGTGTGGGCAAAGCGGGAGGTGTTGCGTCGTCTGCCTCTCGTCCGCCACCTCAATGTCGTCCGTCCTGCCGCGATTGCTCCTGGACAGAGTTGTTCACTCGCCTCGAACGCTGATCTCGGCACCATCGTCATCAAAGTCGCCACATCTCCAAACAAAAACTCTCATTCGTCAATAGGTGACGTTTCGAGCAATGGCCCTTCATAGCACATGAAGGGCCATTGCCCAAAACACCTATTGTTTATATTATGAGACCTCCTTTGCCAGTAACAAGATATAGTAATAGGTTTTACCCTTTTAACTGGCACAAAAAACCTGACACCTTTATTCAAGGCATCATGTCTGCAATAACAACACAAGCAGTCAAAATGCATACAAAAAGACAACTGATAATAATATGCACTGTCCTTGTATTTGATTAGTCCACACCCGAGACGGCTTTCTTTAGAGGTGTTGGACCAGAAGACGCCAAAAGGCGTACAACTCAAAAACAGCGCACTATCAGAGTATTGAGGGCTCGGGGTGAGCATTTACATTATGAGACCTCCTTTGCGTCTTCTGGTCCAACACCAGTGGAGACTATGCTCTAAAGAAAGCCGTCTCGGGTGTGGACCAATCAAATTCAAGGACAGTGAATATCAGAGTTGTCTTTTTGTTTGCATTTTGACTACTTGTGTTGGGGTTATTGCAGACATGATGCCTTGAATAAAGGTGTCAGTTTTTTTGTGCCAGTTAAAAGGATAAAACCTATTACTATATCTTGTTACTGGCAAAGGAGGTCTCATAATGTAAATGCTCACCCCGAGCCCTCAATACTCTGATAGTGCGCTGTTTTTGAGTTGTACGCCTTTTGGCGTCTTCTGGTCCAACACCAATGGAGATTGGGCTCTAAAGAAAGCCGTCTCGGGTGTGGACCAATCAAATTCAAGGACAGTGCATATTATTATCAGAGTTGTCTTTGTTTGCATTTTGACTCCTTGTGTTGTGGTTATTGCAAACATGATGCCTTGAATAAAGGTGTCAGTTTTTTTGTGCCAGTTAAAAGGGTAAAACCTATAACTACCTATTTATCTTTTTTTCCTGTTTTTGCAGCTGACGAATTTTGTTGAGCTTTGATTTGTGCTCTGCAGCCAATGCAGTTTCACGATGAAGTTTAAAAAAAAAATTCGGGCCTGCATGACCTGTCACAAACCTTGAGCATACAAGGAAGGAGAGTAACACGCGAACTCTTGCTCACATGAGCAGCATTCCTCAGCTTTTTTCATTCTTGCGTGCAGTTATACAATACTGTATGCAACAGATAAATGTACGCGTCTTTAGAACAGCCAACAAACTTGGGAACGTTTCGCGTGATGGATTTTTCATATTGTGTGGCCAAAGAGGCACATTTGGTGCTAATGCAAGAGCTGATTATATTATAGAGGCCCTTGTGCATTAAATGTAGGTGCAAGTTCAGGAACAACTGCCAACCATCACACACCCAAGAAGCATTATCATCCTTATCATCACAACCATTACAGTCGGAGTCGAACTAATCCTTCTTCAGGTGCGAAGGGGTTATAGCCCAATCTGAAAGGGGTTGGTAGGATACCATATTTACTTTTGACACTCCAGCTGCGAAGTGCAATCTCAATTTATTGAACCAGCTAACTGATAACTGCATCTCTTTCGGGGAGGTTATCACTGCAGAGCAACACATACTTTATGAGACCTCCTTTGCCAGTAACTAGATATAGGAATAGGTTTTACCCTTTTAACTGGCACAAAAACTGACACCTTTATTCAAGGCATCATGTTTGCAATAACCACAACACAAGCAGTCAAAATGCAAACAAAAAAGACAACTCTGATAATAAAAGGGTAAAACCTATTCCTATATCTTGTTACTGGCAAAGGTCTCATAATGTAAATGCTCACCCCGAGCCCTCAATACTCTGATAGTGCGCTGTTTTTGAGTTGTACGCCTTTTGGCGTCTTCTGGTCCAACACCAATGGAGACTACGCTCTAAAAAAAGCCGTCTCGGGTGTGGACCAATCAAATTCAAGGATAGTGCATATTATTATCAGAGTTGTCTTTTTTGTTTGCATTTTGACTGCTTGTGTTGTGGTTATTGCAAACATGATGCCTTGAATAAAGGTGTCAGTTTTTGTGCCAGTTAAAAGGGTAAAACCTATTCCTATAACACATACTTTGTTTGGGAACATCAGTTAAAACCGGTTTTTAGTTCGGTTTGGCTGGCTACAGCATTGATTTAATGATAGGTTTTGTCCATCGTTCTACTTACAGTTAAATCAATATGCAAGAATCTAAAAATCATGCGCAAAATCCCATTTTATTTTGCATCGCCAGTTTGTTTTGAGTGGTCATGACCTAACCTGGGAAGCTGGCAATTTCCTTTCTATCAAGAATTAACATTTTTCCAACGATTGCCACACTTTAACACGTAGGCTTTCACGATCAATATCATCCATAAGAGTTTTTTTTGGATTGCCACACTTTCGTCTGCATATTGCCAAACAATGGATATTGAACAAATGCCGGAGTGTGTGCAATAGAGCATAATTGGACAAGGCCGTTGTAAGAATGATGCAATTCCCATACAACATCCAACCATTGCAATGATGGAGAGTCAACCAACTATTGACATCGCCCACAGCTGTGCAATTGCACTGAAGGTGTGCCCAACACTAACCTCCTCCACTACACACAATCTCACGCCCTTGGCAAATAAATTCGGTGTTGATGTTAGCTCAGTCCGCAGGTCAATCTTACCTGGAGACCCAATGTTTTTTTGTTGCTTAATATTTTCAGCGTTTCTTTAATTCATATAGCTTGCGGTTTTAACAAACTTAAACTTTTGAAGACATCATTTTTTTTCAGTTGACAAAAATATAGCTTTTAATCACAACGATACAAGTGTGTAAACACGAGATGTATATTGTCACCGTTTCTCTGTGGTGTCGAGGTGTATGCAAGGGTTAATTGATTCTTTCTACACCAATTAATAATTTAGCATGAATGAGCCCAATAAACGTTTCTCACCAAGGTCCCAGAAGAACCCACGCCTCATCTCTCTGTATTCCTGAAAGTAATTCCACAGCCATACGTATGCTTGAGCAAACCTTCCTGAATCTACATCAGAACATTTTTGAAACAATGTTTCCCGAATCCCCCACCTGTCACCAACCAGCAGTATAAATTGGCACACCGCAGTTCGTTGATTAGCAGGTCGCGTATGGTGGGGTAAAGTGTGGGTGGTGCCTACTCCCACCTCTTCCAAGACGCTTGTTTGGCCAGTATGGGAATGGGCAAAAATACCCCATGGCGAGACTCGAGTTTCCACTACTGCAGGCCCTTTCACCATCAGTGGTGTGAGTGAGAATATTCTAGGGCTGGACTTTCATTTGTGAAGGTAAAGTTACGTCTAAATATAACATTTTTTTTAACTGCTGTTCATGTCAATTGGTGAAATGCATGCCATATGTGCGTGCTCTCCTTGGTGCCCAGGTGCCGGCAAACGTGCGCTGATCGTGTTCGCTCACCAGGAGCCCCTGCGCTCCTTCAACGGGGCCCTCAAGGAGGCGGCCGTGCAGGCCTTGAGCAAGCAGGGTTGCCAGGTGGAGGTGTCCGACCTGTACGCCTCGACCTTCAACCCGGTGGCAACACGGGCCGACATCGTAGGTGCGTGTGACCCTTGCCACTTTTGAGGTTTGCTGACTCGCGGTCCCGAACAGAACAGCGGTGTAGCATGCACACCTATCATGTCTCGTGCAACTGGTGTGAGAGGGGCTTCATTTCTCACCGATTATTTCCCAGGTCGTTGAGTAGCCTGGAGACTAGGCACCTGACTAGTGCCCACTGCCATAACTAGTAGTATACTGGATGTGGTGTGCTGGTGGCAAGAATATTTGCTGGGTAACCAACACGGACATAACCCGGCTGAGGTTATGCCCTGCGTGTGAGATGCGCGCACATTCCAAATGTATCTCACACATTCCGCAGAAGTATAGACTCCCCCTAATTAGCGTAAGAATCGAACGTAGACTCAACTTGGCAACTCATTCTACACACCAGGGGTTCCGTGCCGCCACAACCTCACATCACACTAATTTCACCCCAACTCCCAACTTGAGTGATCCACAGACATGTGGCCAGTGCAGCATAAAACATGGTTGTAAATGTGGTCTGTTCTTCATAGATCACATTTAATTGAAATTTAACTCGCTTATATTACAGAATTCTAAAGTTGTTTTTACTTGATAATAGTTTTTTTACCCTTTTATCTGGCAACAACCCTGGTACCTTTTTTTTACAAGGAGTCATGTTTGCATTGACCACGATACCTGCGGTCGGAATGTAAACAAAAAACATAACTCTGATAAACAAAAAGATGTCAGTGTTGTTGCCAGATAAAAGGGTAAAAAAACAATTATCATATTTTGCTACTGGCAAAGGGGGTTCCAATGGTTGTTTTTACTTCTTGAAACGCTCTCCTATACAAGTCCGAACAAGTGTGGGTGTTGCCATTGTATGGGCTGATTTTTTTATTCAACAAAGCATTTGCCGATGCAAACTTATGCATTCGGGTGTGATCAGGTTTTTTTCTTATCAGCCCGAATATTTGTACTGTATCCTCTTATGGGTATCTACGTTTTCCACGGGTTGCAAAGTACTGTACTGATGCCAAGGGAATGGGTAGTATCGGCTAATTGGAAACTCGTGACGGGTTTACGCAGTCTCATGAGTGGTTACACAGTCCCATGAGTGGCGTGAGTACACATGCCAAGTTTCCAAATCACCTAGCAGCAACAGGTGCTGTTAAACTTGGCAGCAAAAGTGCTGTCTCATGCTACGGAGATGCCCTCTGTGAATTGTGGTGTGTCATTTCACTGAGGATTAGGGTTAGTTGGTTGTATAATGGTTTTACTGATGCATTCTTTGAATGTAAATAAACCCTTTGGATATCAATTAATTCATTTCGACCCTTTTTCCATACCATGCGACAGTTGGATAATAAAACAAGCATGGTGCATTGACAGATTGTCCTGGGTCTTTACGCATGAATCCCCACGTAAGATGCAGGCAGATGGTAGCGTTACCGCCAGTACTGCTTTTTCCTTAGTCTGACCTCTTCTACTCAGATTGCTGTGAAATCGGTAAGCCTCTCAAGGGAAATAAAAAAAATTACTCAAGTCCCTCATTTACATGCCTTTCTCCCCTCTTCTGGTATTGAGATATTATTATGCTCATGATATATCCTGGGGTTTTTTTTACCTCCCGAGGTGGCAGCCTTAGCAGAGGGGGGATGCGTCCTGAGCAAAATTTTATATTTCAATTTAAGTTTTATGGACCGCTGCTAGGCTGGCTTTGAGTAGGGATCATCGGTGCAAGGCAGTCCCACTCGAGTACTAGATAAACCTTTGCATGTTAATTGTATATTATGAGCACTATTCAAAACACTTTTTTTCACTTCACCACACACGCTGCAGTGTCGCGAGGAAAAAACAAGATGATTGATGTGGCATGCCAAAATAATTATCGGAACAGCATTTCCAGGCCTGTTACCGGCTGAAATGAAGCACGGATTCTGAGTGGTTGCTGTCCCCATGAATGCGGCAGGGGATCTGAAGGGCACCGAGTGTTTTCGATACGGAGAAGAGTCTGCAGCAGCCTGGGAGAAGGGCACACTCAGCCAAGACATCGTGAACGAGCAGAAGAAGGTGCAGGATGCCGACCTCGTCATTTTCCAGGTGCTTGCTCGTATCGGTGGTGCCCAGGGCACGCATGGAAGTTGGGGGTGCTGAAAAAGACTGAAGCTGAAATGGAGAGTGAAGGTGCAGCCCTTAATTGCTGCAAATAAAAAGACCCTTGTGGCACCAACCAGTAAACCACACCACAATGATGTTCTCTGATCATCTTAGTCCTAAACTGGCCAATCGCGCTTGACGCAATACAAAACCTTCCTCTCCTGCCACTGCTATTCTGTATCTGAGCACCGCTTGAGGGTACACAAATGCCACCTAAATCCGTGTTGAAATCACCATAATGATTGTGGCATGCTCGGCGCACTTTGAAAGTCTCTAAATTACAGACAATTTAACTTGTTCAGTTTGTGAACAACTAATGAGGTCCAATTTCCAATACAGATGCATAGAAGCCCATATACACGGACTTGCATTGACACTCACCACTCTGATTAGCACGGTTGGCTACATACGGTGCTACAGAGGTTCAACATGCATACATGAACACTTGTTTACACATCATAAGCTGCTCGCACTATTCATTTTGACACAGCCCCCTTGCAGGACTTTGATCTTTCACCGCATATCCTCTTATTATTGTGAGTTCCTATTGTTCCAATCTTTGTCTACAGTCTTTTCCCATCTTGTCTTGGGTCTTCCTATTTTGCATCTTCCGTGTGTCAGTTTGTTGCATAAGTTTCATGCTAACCTCCTCTGTGGTGTCCACACTTAGTAGATGTCCAAGCCTTGTAGTCTCCTCTTATTGATAATAAGTCTGCCTCTTGTCCTGATATCCACACAGATGCACCGATACACACATGAACACCCATATACAGTACGCAACAAAACAAATTTACCCATGCAACCTACATAGACTTTTAGGACGAGTGGTGTTCGCAAGCACCTATTAAGGCAGGCACGGCACACGAGGGAGTGGTGTGGTTCAGATATTCGTCATTGGTGTTGGCCATGAGCTGGAATCGAACTCGGGTCACTGGGTTCATATCGCCAGCGCACCAACCGCTACATTACCATTTCCCACATAGATATATACAAGCATTTACAGACACATTGACTCCCATATACACAAATGCATGGAAACACATGGTGCTTTACAGAAATATACTGCCTCATATTCATGATAATTAGTGGCATTTTGCCTGCGCACACTTTTTGTTCTATCTGTGTGGTATTTAAAATGCAGTAAATACTCCAATGGAATAGAACAAAAGGAGACGACAGAGCACACTCATGCAGTCGTTTACTTTCCTGTGTGTGCACGGGTTCATCACGTCAGTAATTAGCCTATTAAATAATTAACAAATTCACTTGTTCCAAGTGGCTTCATGAATGAGTTTTATCTTGTGCCAAATTATTGCGAAATGTCCCATTTCCAGGGATAAGAGCATTGATGAGTTTCTGATGTGTATATAATTAAGAATGCAACAGAGTAGCTCCTTCACAATTTGCCACAAGTTTATTAACTCTACGGTGTAAGTACAATCTACAGACATAGGAATCTATAGTGGCTTAAAAATTAATTAAGTGCACGAGCAAGTCAAACGAGTCTTAGACACACAATTCCATACGTGTGTAGTGGCATAGCGCTGGCTGCTGGCGGAAAAGGGTAACTGTGCTGTATGGGAGTACCCACGTCAGCAGGCCACGATAGACACGAGGGGAAAGGTCACAGAGGGTGCCCATCGGGAAGCCTCGGGAACCCACTAGTAGGTTCTAGAGAGGGGGCGTGGCCACGGCGGAGCGAGGCCACGCTGACAGTATAAGAAGGGCCCCTCTGAGGGACCTCGTGGCTGTTGCTGGAAGTGAGATCCCTGTCGTGCTGTTCAAGATCGTCGTCGTTACCATCTCGTCGTCGCTGCCGTCTTCACTCGATATTGCGCTGCTAGATCGTTGTTGGCTGTCTCCGTTCAGTGCCGTTAGTGTAAGATGATTAGTGTTGTGTATAGGCTAACAGCAGTAATAGTGTGTACCCACGTAGGTTGCGTATTATCCCGATGGTGTTCGTACAATAAAAGAAGTGCCTCCAAGTCTTACTGTCTCCGATTTAGTCACTACATGTGCATCATGGGCATAAGTAGTTTAACCCAGTATTGTATTGAGACCTGCGTGTGTGTGTCTACCCTGTGGCGTGCAGTTTCCCTTGTACTGGTTCAGCATGCCTGCCATCATGAAGGGCTGGATGGATCGGGTCCTCACCCGCGGCTTCGCTTATGGGTTCCCACAGTTTTATGAGGGCGGCCCTTTCACCGTACGTGTGCACACATTGTCCTTATTACCTTGATTGGCGATCTAGATCAGTGGTTCTTAACCTTTACTGCAGCCTGCACCCATTTGGTTCTCAGAAAGGGCATCTCACACCCCCAGGGAGTGCATGCACCCCAGGTTAAGAACCACTGATCTTGATGATCGCTTGTATATATACCACTGCTTGGATATTAGCGTGCGTGATGGGATCTTCTTTCCATGTCTCTCTCGTGTTGGCTTTTTTCGATGTTGCAGAAAAAGAAGGCTCTGATCTCCATCACCACGGGTGGGATGGAATCAATGTATGGACCTACAGGTGTCAATGGTGACATCAATGTCATCCTGTGGCCCATGCAAGTAAGATAAACCTGCAAATGTGACAATTGTGAATGGAATTCATGTTAGTTTTGATTATTTTCTTTGAACCTATCTACGTGACTTTACCGAAAGACCCAAGAATATAAAACAGTAGTTAATGTTGGGGGGGGGGAGCTTAAGCCCCTGCGTTAATGTAGCCCTGGCACCTCTGAGTCTAATCTAAGACGGACACTCGGATATGAGACAAGTCTGTACGATCCCTAATATATTCTGTACCGCTTTGTTTTTCAGCAAGGGATGCTGCACTTCTGTGGCTTCCAAGTTTTGGCCCCACAGATCTCATGGAGCCCTTCGTTCATGCCAGAGGAGGGTCGCAAGGGCCTGGTGGCCATGTGGGAGCAGCGACTGGCATCCGTGTGGCAGGAGAAGACGCTTAAATTTGCACCTCTTGAGCTTTTTGACCCCAAAAAAGGTTTCGTGCTCAATGATGACACCGTGAAGAATCTCTCCACCAAACCCCAGGGTCTCACCGTGGGCCAACATGCCGGCAAGCCTCTCCCTCCCAACAACCAGACCAAGGCCAACGATGCCTCTGCTGAATAACCAACCGCTGCTTGAAATAAGCAATCTGGTTGCTGGCATTTCACATGCACAAAATGTTCATTACGTACGATTGATTTATTGAAAGATGTTTAACATTTAGAATATAACTTGAGAAAAGGTGTATTCTTTAAAATTACATGTTCCAATGACAAGGCCTAATTGATTGCATAGCACCTTCCACCACCAAATGATTCGGTAGAGAGGTGGAAGTCTTTTACTGACCATGCAGAGGTGATCAGGCAATGGGACGTCGATGAAGATGTAATGTTTGCGCTCACACAATCAGTTAATGTTTCTGTCTTTAAACCAGAATGTCCATTATTACAGTATATTCAGCATGTAAGCCATTGGAAATGTATTCTGTGGCATATTTAATAGATGTTGATTGATCATACTAAAACCTCATGTTGAAACGACACATTAATATCGTCCATACGGGTCATTTATATAATAAAAACTGGCTAAAATAGTTTATATGTATCTTATAAAATTGTGACTGATATATGAAAGGGTTTGTGAACTGTATGTGTTCACTAGTCTTGACTACATCAGTGCTCATTCGAAATAAATCTTGCAACATGAATGCCTGAAACATGTAACTATAAGTTGCCCAAAATAATTCATTGACCAACACAATTGAGAGCAACAGAAGCCACTGCACAAGTTGGTACTAAGGGAAGCGGTGCAAGAGCTGAAGTGATGGTGAGGCAAAGTTAAAGGATTTAGAGCCATCGATGGACGAGAACGAGGGAGAGCAATAAAATGTCGGAAGGCCTTTGGCGAATTTTTGGGGCGTTAGGAGCCGACAACGCAAATGTCAGTTTTAACCTTTATGGTTTTAATTCACGGTGAGTTACTGTACTGTATATTCGCTTTCAATGTTTACTTCCGTATTGCTTTTAGCTTGATTAAAGTTGGGGTTCCAAAATATTTAAAGTATCACTTAAAGTTGAAGTTAGAAATTGGCCATTTAAACAATTATCATGCTACAGTAATTGCCATTACCGTGCCATGGTGCACGTGTAGGTTTTGTGTTGATTAAGTGACAGACTCGGGTAGTCTGTGTACTGTCTATTTTACACTCGACACCCAGGGGTGGGGAACATTTCTTATCGATGTTTGCATATAACAAATACCTTTTGCAGTGTCGCATTAACGTGCACACTCGTGTCCCTGCAAGATGCCCTTGCAGTTACAGAAGTATGGATGAAAGCGTGTACTAAATCAGAATCGGAATATATGTACTGGAGGAATCCGATGAGCTATAAAGCTCTTTTTCACGTCCAGTAGGGGTGGGTCAGAATGTTACATCAACGAACAATACAAAAATACTTGGAGTACAAAGTATAAGAAAAGTAAGCAAATCAATAAAGATATATACAAATGAAACTACTTTTATTTTACCAAGTAAATCCCAATGAGATCATGGCTTCTTTTTCAGAAGCGACCTGGCCACATAGCTCAACGATGTGGCTTATGTGGAAATTTATAGCAGCCAAATAATCTAAATCTAATCTATACGTAGTCCGTGGCAGAGCAAAAGTGTAGAACTTCACTCGGCATCAAATACACATCATGGTGATGTATTTTCAGAAATTATTTTCCATTTTGATGTCACATACCGATGCAAAAAAAATCGAATGTTTTATGTTGTGATAGTGGCGTCTAACGGCCGCAGGGGTGACGTGAAACCGTCACATAGAACATTTGCAAATCAAATAAACGGATTCTTTCTTACACAAGCGAATCGTTATATCGTGGAAAGCTTAACTTATGGCATTCTTTCCCAAACTATTTCGGCCCGCGGCTCATTGAGCCGATGCAAACATTCCTACGGACCACCCAGCCCCGCAGCTCTGGTGACAACGTGTTCCCTTCTTTCTAAATGCCACTCGCACTAAATGATTTGTATTACCAGAACGTAACACTTGTTTTTTCCGCAGCTGTGAGGGCTTTTAGGGGGAAGGAGGCATTTCGATCTTAGGGCACTTTAATCAGGGTAGTTTCACGAACTTAATTTATCAATTAAATATGAGTAAAATATGAATTAATGTCCGAAACAAAAGGTATAAACATTGTCATTATTTCCGGGTCAACCTGAGTTTGAAGTAACCCGCTGACCACCTGAAGGAATGTGGTGGACTGCGCGTGGTCCGGGTGCCACACTTTATTGCTTATGCGTCCATATCGTGCCACAGAGATGAGAGATGAGCTGGAGAGTTGTTTTACCACGCGTTAAAATTCACAAAAAAATACCGTGCAAATGTAATGAAAGCAAGACGCGCCAGAAAAAGTTAGGTACAGGTTTATATGTTGAACTTATTTTGCAGCGTACGTAGTCAACGTGACAATCGGATGTGAGGGGGAAGGAGAACAATCTAAACACAATAAGCAGGTACAGGTGCAAGTACAGTTTTAACATTTCCACAGAAATGCGTATCCATACCCAAACTTCCTATGAGCAAGGCTCGTTACGGACGCGCCGATATAAGTTCGACATGCCTATTCGAAAGAACCAAGAATATTAATCCCTGCACTCACGAAAGCTTTAAATCGAAATGTATACCACCTATTCTACACGTATGCAACTTCAAGTTGCGAAATCTCGCGTGTACTCGAGTGGCGCAACGCGACCCACGGCCGACCTTGCGTTACCGGCGTCAACGAAAGCCACGTGTCGTGCGAACAAGTTGTCGCTCCAGACTTAGCCGGCGACAAAGTCAGCCTCTGGGTGTCCAGTCTCAGGTGAATACAATAGCATTGTGCAACGGCGTGGAATGCGCTGGTAGTGACTTCATTAATTTTATTATATTACTTCATTCTTGTCTCCCCAGGAAAGCCCCGCTGAGCATCCTAAGCCTTCTTTAGGAAGGTTCTGCCAAGTTTTTGCAAGAGGCGATGCAATTATGTATACTTCCGATCGAGTAATTTGGAGATAACGTTTTTGTTTAATCTAAAATTTGGACCCTAACGTCAGCACACAATGGGCGATTGCTGCGTATCAAAGTGCCCCCGCATCTGCAGTAGATTTGTGCGCGAGACTGGAGGAGAAGGCGGCGGCTCGTGGGTGATGAGAACGACGATTGCGCTCTCCGTGGTGCTCATGTTTATTGTTGGTCTTAAACCGGCGGTGCTAATTCCGCGTTTATGTGACGGGGGGCCGATACTTCTCAACAAATGCTGCCGCTCGCCGAGTGGTGTTACATTTAACGACCAAAGGGACGATGGTTGAGTACTCAACCTTTGGTAGGTAATTAAAACTGGAAGGTAAGTTGGTCATTAAAGCCATAGAACCTCTGGTTATATAGTTTTAGTTTGTATGATGATGGTGGAGATGATGTGGCTGAGAAGACACTGGGCAGGGTTATGAACTCGCATTCTCACGATTCGGAGTCTGCATGGCTCAAGTTACTTTCTGAAGAAGTTGTCTCAACATCCCATCACCTTCTTTGGTTCTTTCGGTAAAGTCACGTAGAATGAGAATAAAATAATAAATTGACAGCGCTGTCCTCCAGACAGTCTCGTCCCCTTCACCTGATGAAGGCCGCTTGTGTTGTGGCCGAAACGTCGTGAGAATATTATTGTGTTATCTTATTTTATCAATTCATTATTTTATTCTCATTCTACGTGACTTTACCGAAAGAACCAAAGAAGATGAATCCTTGCAGTCACGAAAGCTTTAAATCGAAATCCCATCACCTCTCTCGGCACCCAAACAACAAGCCTGTGTGTACATTTGAGCCTGCAGCGACACCACCTGGACAATTAATGCAGCGCAATTTGTTAATAAACAGGACAGCAATATAGTTTGCTTTCAACTTGTCAACGAACTCAATAACATGATTATATGGCGTAACAAAGTAGATTACAAAGTAACATTCGCGATCAATATGAATATAACAAATTTCATGTACAGTCCGACATGTTTTGCTAAACAAAAGAAAACTTTATGAAGGGGCACGACTGGAAAACAACAGAATCTGTATGCTTCGGTGCATTACTGTAGATGTGTAAATATGACTCACTAGCTTCTTTGCCCGTCTTAGGACAGAAGCTGTAATATTTACAAAAAAAATGAGCAGAGTATAATTGTATCTTGTGTAAATTTAATGGCAGTGAATCTTGCACAAATGTATATCAAACACTTCACTGCATTTCACTGTAGCACTGTATTTAACTGACCTTCAATTTGTTCAAATTCACTGCTCTGATACTTTATTCTCTACTGCTTTCGGTCGCTGGGGTTGAAATAAATAGGAATTCGATACAAAATCTGGAAATCACCGAGAAATGTCTATTTTACCATAATGTAGAAGCATAAATTAGACTTACCTTTTGTCTCAAGTGCTGAAGAAATGAATAAAGACACAAAATCCACTTTGTTGCTGCGTATAATTATTTATAAGATTACCTTTCAATAAAGAAACGTCAAACTTAAAGCGAATTTGCCAAAATTAATATTTCCGCTCGACCTTCTGCGTGAGCGTAAAAATCCACCCGCTCATGAATATTAATGATGGGGGTGCGGCATGTGGAGTGACGTCACACGCGGGACACAGACATCCTTGGTAATTATAATTTAAAGTTGTAAATCCTTTACAATTACAAATACATGCCCATATTTTATACACAATACTGCACTTCTAAAATCAACGTACATCCGTTGGTTTTCAATTAAAAAAACATGTTTTAAGCACTTAAGATTACGTTTTTGTCATTAGGAGACAAGCAGAAGCATGACAATTTACTTTCTTTTAGATAAAATCCACACCAGCATATGATGCGCCGTTTGTATTGTAAAATCACAAAGGCCTCACAGTTGCCAATAACTGAACATTTTAACTGATAAACACGACCGAAATATGTCATTTCTTACATTATGGCCCAAGATACTCGTGTCTCTCTTGCACGTATCTAATTAACTGCATGAGCAATTTGTCAATTTGCAATGCAGAGTGGCAAATAACTCAGGGCACATATATCACGGTAGTTTCGAGATGTAATACAAAATGCAGTCATTAAATCAAGTTTCTGTGATTGGCCCTATGTTGTCGGGCCAATTCCATAAACCGCAGTGCTAAATAAAGAGCACATTGAACTATGATGTAATATATTACTGTGCCGTACTTGTCAAATGTGTGCCTGGTAAAAGTGCCAAGACCTCTATGTATTTTATCGAGGAATTGCCATGTGTCCAGGTTATATCTACAGTATATTGTTTCCATTATTATTACGCTTGTGTACCCAGAAAAGCCTGATCGAGTTTCAAACCGAATTTTCACGAGTGTCCTGCCAAGTTTTCACAGAATGAAATGTGGATGAGCAAATCGAGTGTGGTGCACGTTTGTTTTATTCCAGTCTGTTTTAGAGTTCGCTGTGGGTGGGTTCTGTGACATGAAACTGCACAACACCACAGAAGGGGGCGTTGATCCCGAACCAGGATTTTAACTCTCAAAATTCTGGCTGAAATGCGCATTGCACTCTCCACTGCACTCTGGCCACTGTTCCACATGCAATACCGCAATGCAATCCACATTTAAAAGCAGAGCCATTGCATATAAATGTACGCAAATTATTTGTACCATACTCTTCTGTCTGTGTATTACATTTTATGGTTTTTTTTACAGATCCAGTGGTAGCACAGTGGTTATCACACTTGGCTGTCAGCAATCATTAGACACTTCATTTGCCTTCAAAGTGCACCTAGCCTGGCGCACGTGCTGTCATGGTCACCCAGTTGCGAATGGGAGTTGTTTTTTTATGGTAGCGTTGTGGTCAATCATCTTGCATTAGACGTTTCGGGGCACGCTGTCGATGTATCCTACAACCATTAGTCTTCCACTGCTGGATGAAGGCCTCCCCATGCCGTGTGAGTCGCGGGGGTTACAGTACATCAATGGCACATCAGTCTTTTCCATTACTGTATTGTTTGAATTTACCCAGATTACCATTGTAGCATACGGTCGCGGTCTTTTAAAATTAGTGCAGGGATTGACGTCAGCGTTGTAGGGGGTTGGGAATTCCGATTCTGCGAGGACTGTTACAATACTATGCTGCAGTATACGGGAACAAATACAACTATTTCAGTATGTAACAAAACTTTCTATACAAATGTGTACAATCACATCAAACAAGTTACGTCAGCAACACAACTGTCGTGTAAACAAAAAGTAAGTCTAAATATAAAAATGTGAACACTCAAGTGTGAACGTGTCAATACAGTACTCTTAATAAAATCTTAAATCAAACTTAATTCCGCACTCCCCGTTTCTTTCCGCATAATCTCGGCAGCCCCCTGGCCCACCACGTTCCTGTGAAGACCAACTCACTGCATTGGCTGCGTCTTACACAAAGGGCGGCCACAATTCTGCGGCTGCTGCTTCTATTGC